CCTTATTCTACACTGGAAATCATCTATGCTGCCTCAGCATTTAACCCAAGATTTGACTGCTCCATTTCTGCTGTGCATCCACAGCATTTGAACAGAGATGTCATAAATAAATTCTCTCCTTGTGCTGCCTGGAAGCTGACACCAGTCATCTGCTGGTGTGATATCAGTAAGGCCTATATTTGGGGGGAATACACCTAAAAGAACATTTTTATGTTTAGTGGACAGGAAAGAAACTGAAAGGTAGAGAAGTCAGTCGGGTGTGCCATAAATCACTTGGCTTGCAGACTGAAATCCTTAATGACATTTGCATTAAAAGTTCTTGTTGCCAAATGCTGTTTACCTTTATCTTTAGAATTGTCTGCATTAATAATGAGTAACTCCATTTGGAAGTTATGTACATGAAGTATTGTTCTCATGTCACTGCCACAGACGACAGCGCCATGCTAGATGTGAGAGAGCACCCTGCAAATGAATTCATAGAGCAGCCAGTTTCTTGCACCACTAAGAACTATGGGATATCTCATCAGAAATCCATCCCCGCATACAGACTAGTACAGCACCATACAATGCAGTTATGTAGGTCTGGCACAGGCAGGGGTTTTGCAGTGGGGATATTTCACCCAGACTATATTAGCTTGAGTTAACTGCAGTGGAGACAACACTCCCTATTAGCGCAATAAAACACCTGCGGCTGACCTGTGTCTGCTGGTTCAGGCTTGCAGAGCTATAAAATTGCAGCATAGACATTTGGGCTCAGGCTGGAGACCAGGCTCTGAATGTCTGCATTACAATTTTTAGCCCCACAAGCTCGAGTCAGCTGTGGGTGTTTTATTGCATCGTAGACATACCCCCAGTGTGCCTGAGCCCAGTTACCATTTGCTCAATGGCTTCTGTTACATGGCCTAGGTGTGAAGTCTTCCTTTTCTCATGGGTTTTTTCCACTTGGCTAGTCAGGCCAGTTGAGAGACTGTTGCTGTGCTGTTTGCTTCCTTATTTAGTAGTTAGACCCATTCAGCCTTCATGGTTTGCAATTACAAGTCTTGTGACTGAGGGGACGTGCTGAAATTTTTTGCTCTCCCTGACATTCCCATAATATCAGAAATCCTACACATAAAACATTTGGGGGGACAGATCAATATTTATTACTAAGCACTACCACTATGGTCATGGCATATAATAATGTTAATTGTTAATGATTTTAAGTGTTGGTTCAGTAGTTCATAGACTAAAAGGAGGATGCTGTCTTCCATTTACTTTCAATTACAGTTTGGAATTGGGTAATACTTTGGAGTGAAATCTATATTAATGGCATCAGGATTTATTTCTGATAATACCTGAGAAGATCAAATATTTGATCTGTAGTTACTCATGTTAGTATCTACACCCTGTGGCTTTGCTTAATATTTGTATATAGTATGCCAAGAACATTTTTACTCCACTTGCCTGGCCAGATTTACATAATCATAGCCAGGAGTAGTGATGGCTGAATTATTATTTTGTAAATAGTAGCTCCCTACTGAATTTGGGTAATGTTAGCTGTTTTAAGTAGATGTTAAAATTCTGATTACCTTACAGGAACAATTGTTGTATGCAGTGTTGTTGTAGCCATGTTGGTCCCAGGATATTGGAGAGACAAGATGAGTGAGGTATCTTTTACTGGGCCAACTTCTCTTGGTGAAAAAGACAAGCTTGCAAGCACCCCACAGACCAGCATACACCAACTCAAAGTGGCACCAGACTCCACCAGAACAATACATGAAAAATCTACAGACAAATCTCCACTGCTACAATGATCAACCCCCCGCATAACACGCCTTTCAAGATCCATGGGTCTACACATGCCTGTTACAACATGTAGCGTTCCTCATCCAGTGCACTAAATGCCCCAATAGTAACTGGGTGAAACCAGACAATCGCTACGCTCTCGAATGAACTCTCACCATGTTTTTTTCTTTTATCGTTTTCCTGTATCACCTGTGGGTGAACACTTTTCACAAAGCAATCACTCTATACCTGACCCCTCATCCTCAAAGGAAATGTGCACAACACTTTCAAAAGATGACCCTGGGAGCTTGAGCTTAAGCTTAAGCTCATAATTTTGCTAGACACTAAAAATCACAGACTGAATAGAGATACTGGATTTAGGGCTTGTTACAATAATCTAACCCACTAACAACCCCCCCCCCCCTCTTTCCTTCCTATGATTGGCGGGTTGTTAGTTGGCCACTTCACCTTGAATGGTCCCTTGAAATGTGTTAACTACTTATGGTAAACAAGTGTGTCAAATCTTATGTTTAGCAGTGACAGTTTGAGTTATGGGGGGAGGGATAGCTCAGTGGTTTGAGCATTGGCCTGCTAAACCCAGGGTTGTGAGTTCAATCCTTGAGGGGGCCACTTAGGGATCTGGGGCACAAATCACTACTTGGTCCTGCTAGTGAAGGCAGGGGGCTGGACTCGATGACCTTTCGGGGTCCCTTCCAGTTCTATGAGATAGGTACACCAGAAGTGCTACAGGGGTGTAGCTTCACCAATGCAGATGCGCCACTGTAGCGCTTCTGGTGAATGCATTCTAAGCTGATGGGAGAGAGCTCTCCCACTGGCTTAACTCCACCTCCCACAAGAGGCAGTTCTCCCGTTGACCTAGTACTGTCTGCACTGGCGCTTAGGTCAGTATAACTTATGTAACTCGGGTGTGGATTATTCACACCCTAAGTGGTGAAATTTATTCCGAAGTAAATTCTAGTGTAGACAAGGTCTTCGTTTCCCAGACCTGAAGAAGACCTCTGTGTAAGCTTGGAAACTTCTCTCTCACCAACAGAAGTTGGTCCAGTGAAAGATACTACCGCACTCATCTTGTCTTTCACAGGAACAATCTTAGGTTTTTTCCCTCTCTTCTAATGAAGAAAAATAAGTAGCTCAACAAGAACATTGAATAGGTAGCTGAATTTGGAGAAAATTCTCTTTGGTCAGGCTGTCATTAAGATGATCATATTATTATTTTACCTTTCTAGAAACTTGAAAACCATTGATAACTGTTCTGTAGTTCAGGTCCTACAAGGTGATCTACCTCCCTATTATGTTTTACATTCATTTGTGTGGATTTGGTACTGTGGCATCCTAGAAGAATGTTATAGAGCAATATAACTTGATTGGAGCAATGTATAATATGCTATTAGTACAGAGTTCTGTTTGGGAAAGTTAGGGGAAGAGAACTCAACTCAAAGTGCCCACCTTCCTCTCTGTAAGTCAGACCTGACTCAGAGAGATCCCCAAATCTAATAAGGTTTTTCAAATTTATAGAAAATACTTTAGGGTGTAATCTGTAAACAGTGATGCTATATCAGTAGTCCCTTCCGCAATCTTTCTTATATTGGGATACTTTCAGTAATGGAGAAAGGGACTCAATTACTACTGCAAATAGGATTAAGACAGGGTGTGTCGCATACTTCATTGATTCAAACATTAGTCAGACACATCTTGGTTTACATGAGCAGCACTAGGGAACTTACTTTAGTCTTGTAAAATTCACTTTGCTTACGGCGTCACTTTTTCAGTGAGTAAAATCTTTCCATTTTAACATCAGCATTGGATGAGTAGATCTGGTAAATTTGAAAAATAGTTATGCAAAGCTAGAGGGTGCTATTGGTTATATAAAAAGTAATCATTAAAAAATTATTCATTATGACTTTTCCCCCTGTTTTTTCACTTTTCTACCTCACTTCTATCCCCTCCCCTCCGATGTCTCAATTTTTGACCACCCCATGTTAATTTACAGAATAGTATGTGGAAGTCTAGTCTAGTTTGTTAAAGGTGAATCCTCACTTTGAGAGACTACATTGGTAGTACAGCTGATAACATGCTGTCTCAGTATTCAGGCCTGGTTTACACTTTTGAGTGCAATAGTCAGGTCAACCTAACCCCAAAGTAGATGTGAGTAGGTCAACAGAAACGTTTTTCCATAGACCTACCTACTGACTCCTGGAGAAATGGATTTACTAAATCAATGGAAAAACCCTTTCCATAGATGTAGGAAGCATCTACACTACTGTGCTGCAGCAGCACAACTGCAGCTCTGTAGATGTAGCAGCTGTAGTGTAGACATGCCCCTGGAGACCAAAGTTGAATGAATGTTTCTATTCTAACAATTAAGAAAAAAAAGCCCCACTTTATTTTTATTTTCAGAAGTCAGGCTGCTGTGTTCTTGCTGAATAAGCAGTATGTATTTTTAGATCTGCTGATCTCTGCTTTTGAATGCAGCGTTTTTATTGAAAATACATCTTTCATCTGGCTATATTTTTCTTTCAGTTTTCAGTGTGTGTGTGTGTGTGTGTACTGGACTTTTTCCTACACCACAAAACTACTAAGCAGCATGTTGCTATCTGCAACAACCTAGTTTTTATTAGAATCCGCTGAGTTTGATACAAAAAGAGTGAAGTAGTTTTATATGCTAGGACATTTCTTGGATTTTTTCAGTGTTGGATGTTGCACTCGACGAGGTTTTCAAGACAGAGTATACTTTTCCAGAACTTACTGACACTGTTCCCAGAATAGAAGGCGGTTTATCATGAATAATACTTAGCAGACCTTCCAAAAAACAAACAAACATTAAAATTTAAGAAATTGTAATTTCTCTCTCTTAATGTTCATAGGAGGGTGGGGTTTAATATTACACATTCCTTTCATGCACACAGCTATGCCTTTGTAAATATTTCTGTTATTTTCATGAAGATGTTTTTCTCTGAAGTATACAAATAAGGTTAGGGTTGTGCTTTAAAGGTTTAGAAAAATGTTCAGTTTCAGGCTTGATTTAATTGATTCAGCTCCAGTGGAAGTTTGTGCCTTTATGACTACTATTAAGAAATGTATTTAACCAATATTTCTGTGGCATTAATCCTTTTAATTAATTTCTGTGGCATTAATCCTATTAATCACATAGTATCTTAGACTCAATATGGATAGGAATATTAGTAGCATAATCTGTTTGCCTTTTTGTTTTGCAGGTATACAAAACTGGGATATGCTGGAAATACAGAACCACAGTTCATCATTCCTTCATGTAAGCATTTGTTTACACATGCACTAAAGTTCATGGTCTATTTATTTTTAAAATTAGAAAGATAGCCAGGAATACATGGCAGAATCACAGTGCACAGGGCTGGAAGTGGAATGTAAGCATTTGTCCCTGGGCATTAGGTAATTTTCCTGAAGATGTAGCCTCAATTTATGCAGAACGTAAGCTTCATTTAAAAAAAAAAAAACCTTTGAGGTTGAAAGGCTGGTAAAGGAGGCTGGCTTTAAAGTAATGGTAGCATAGGTATGGTTCACCTTTTCTAGTAGGCTTAGTTCTTAAGTAGTAAGAGATCATGTAAATATTTCAAGTTGTAACCATATATAACTAGAGAAAACGCTCTAATTTACAACTTTTGGGTATGTTTTCATATCTTCAGTTCTTTTGACCTGATGTATTTTCCCCAGACCTTTTCAGTGTTTCCATTAACAGTTTCCCAACTTAAGTTTTGCAGATGGTACTTGTAGAAACTGATTTTTTTAACTTTTTTTTTTTCTTCATGTAAAACTTGCATATTTATTCTATCCTCTTCATGAAGGGGTTCCCGGTGATTGGTGCCAAACTGGAGTAGAATGTAGAATTCAATTAATTTCCTTTTGGAAATCCTTCTTTTAACTTTCTGGATGATTTGGCACCAAGTCATTGATCACCTGGGCCAAACCAAGTATCAATTCTTGGTAGAAAAAACTAATCAGCACAAATGAATTTCACTGAATGAGTATCAAATGGAAATAGAATAAGAAGCAGTAGTGCTTAAAAACTGTTGTTGCAAAGTAAATATTGTGGATAGTTGGGGCTGTCTTGCTTTTTTGGCAACAATACTTTGTATGGGAAACTAAGGTTGGTGCATTTAATATTTCTTATTGTTCCCCTTTCTTTTCTATGTGCGTTTTTAATTTGGAACTATCCACCTTTTTTGTTGTTGTTTTGGATCATTTTTTGCCTTTTTTATGTTTACTTGATATATCATCTCCAGTGTGCTATCCTCAGTTTTGCTTTTCCCCTTAAACCTGCACTTTTCGATGTTGCCTTGTCAGCACTGCATATTTCACCAAAAACTGGTAACTACTAGCCCATTACTTCACTTTAGAATTTTAATTTTAAACGTGTTGTGGAAATTGCTATTTCTCGACAGGACGTTGAGAACAGTATTTAGGAGCTATTGTTGGATTTACAGAAAATGTTGCCGAACAAATGCCTTTAACTGAATAATCCATTTGTCATTCTTTTTGCATTATAATATTAAAGCTGGACTTTTTATGTCCATATTTTAAGTGAATCTACTTATATGGATTAGAATATTTAAAACTTGTATTTGTACACTCCTGGATATTCAGATGTTTCTTCTATTTATTCTTCCTACATCTCTTCTTCCTTGCTAGTAATTCTAACTTGATCATAGTGATCTGCTTTAGACATAAAATATTGGAGTGGGAATTACTTAAGAGATAAGCAGGGAAATTATGTAACAGGCCATCAAGAAAAGAGGATAGTGGCACATATATATGTTAAATCTTTGAGGAAATAAATGGATTTTAAATATCCATGAGTAAATTCAGTTACTTGTATATAAAACACAAAGAAATTGCTATATTATGGAAATAGCTGCAGTCTAAATGGGACTGCTAATGAAAGGATCATAGTCTGCAACACTGTCATTTGATGAAACTAAATATTTCCTCATCTGTCCTTTAGGCCAGATTATATAATAATTACACTAATTGCGTGAGTTTAAACTGAGGTCCACCACCCAAAATGGGGTAAAATAGAATTGGTAATCCACATTAGATAAATTGCAGCAGTACTTATACATAAAATCGTACTGAAATAAGTGAGGCTCTCTTTTAAAAGCTTCTATATTTTTAGTTTCTTTCACTTCACCTTTGCTATTTTAATTTTTTTTCTTTTGACTTTAAATATTGGCTATTGCACTCTATTTGATTCTTTAGGGGGGGAAATGCTTATTATGTAACCAGTTTGAGCAGCATTCCTTCCCTCTTGATCAGTTGCTTTTCTTTCCTGATCTCCCACTCTCAAATAATTTTTCTCTCCCACTGTTCCTTTATATAGATTTCCTGCTTAATTCTGAATATGCATCTGTACTGCACAAGGAAACTTGCTAGAAAAATAAAGTAAAAGTGAAATATTGCATTGGCCAGGAAGCCTGTTTTTGAACCCGATTGGAGTTCACTGGTTCATTTTCTTTCTTTGCTGTCTCCCAGCTATTTGTTAATGTCCAGCAAACCATTCCGCTTTCTTCCCTTTGATTTTTACTGTGTGATCTATGTTCAAAATATCAACTAATTGATATCCCTCCAGCGCTAGCACTCCTATTTTCTTGTGTCCATATCAAAATATTTTTTGTGTGAACACAAATTTTAAATACTCATTCTCTTCTTTTTCCAGTTGTTACATTTAAAACAAATGGCCCCATTAGTTTTTGAGCACAAAAGTCAGTCTGATACAAATACCTCCTCTTTCTTTAAAAGCTTTTTCAATCTTGTGCTGAACAAACCAAAGCCAACTGCTCTCTGATATTAGTGGAGAAGTTCCCATCTTCAAACACCATGGGAGCCTGGTACTTTCACTACCCAGATTTAATTTCCAGTTTGTATCGTCACAATGTACTGCTTTTTCTAAATTGCTTCTTTTTTATTTTTAAATATAGCCCAAAATGTAGGCTAGTTTCACATTCAACAATAAATATGGACTCATCCTATTTTAGGTTAGAGCAGGGGCAGGCAAACTTTTTGGCCTGAGGGCCACATCAGGTTTCTGAAATTGTATGAAGGGCCGGTTTGGGGAGGCTGTGCTTCCCCAAACAGCCAGGCGTGGCCCAGCCCCTGACCCCACCACCCCACCCCCTGCTGATCACCCCTGCCCCGAATGCCCCATGCTGCCCCATCTAACCCCTCCTCTCAATCCTGACTGCCTCCCCCCACCCCCAGGACCCCTGCCCCATCCAACGCCCCTTCCTCCTTCTTGACTGCCTCCCCCAGGACTCCTGCTCCCATTCAACCCCCCGTCCCATGCCCTCTGACCGCCCCTATCCACATCCCCTGCCCCCTGACCACCACCCTGAATTCTCCTGCCCCCTCTCCAACCTCCCCTGCTCCCTGCCCCCTTACCGTGCTGCCTGGAGCACCAGTGGTTGGCAGTGCTACTGCCACACAGCCCAGAGCATCAAGATAGGCAGCCGTGCTGCCCGTCTGGAGCCAGCCGCACCACAGAGCACCAATAATTGAACACCTTTTGACTTGCATACAGAAGTTTGAGACACCTGACTTCAGGAGAGGGTTTAATTTTAAAGGTGATCTGCAGGGTTGAAAAATTTACCAGACACTTGCTAACCAGCAAGCTAACCCAACTAGCCAAATGAAGCTGCAAAAGATTGGAGGGGAAGGTCAGGTGCATCATACCTTTACTGGATCAGGCCAATGATCTATCTACCGAGTATCCTGTTTTTGATATTGGCCAGTATCTCAAACTTCGGTGTGCAAAACCCCCATAATAAATAAAGAAGGTGTCTATAAGGGGAAGTGTCTTCCCAACTTTCTTTCTTCTGTCATGATAGAAGGTAAATAAGAATACTTGACTTATCTTTTCAATAGTATTCATTATTTTGTATATCTCCCTCAGGTCCCCTCTCTCTAAAAACTAAATAATCTTAATATTCCTATCTGTCTCTTTATGGAAATCTTTTCCCCCCTGACTTTAATTCCTTTTTTGAATCCCTTCTTGGTCTGTTAATCTCTTTATGATGAGGTGTCTAGAACTAAACTCAGAGTTCAATCAGAGTGAAACATCCATTTATATAATGGCATGGTATTGAAAATATCTTTATCCCATTCTTTATACATTTTAGTATCTTGCCTGCTTTTTTTGAATGTGGGTGCACATTGAGCAGCTGTTTCCTTTGTTCTCCTGTCTTTCTGGCTGCTGAGTGGTTGTTAGTTGATTGTGGAGGTAAAGTAGTCCATTGCCGGTTGAGGCAAGTCTTCAACAGGTGGAATGAACAGCCAGTTTATTGACTGTGCTAAAATATTAACTTCTTCTTTGAGTAGTATCCCTATGGGTGCTCCATTTCCAGGTGCTCATGCATCTCTTGAGCTCTTGATCAGAGATTTTTCAGTTAGCAGTTGACCTGCGCATGCACCCTTTGCCTCCTCATGCCAGACTCCGAAGCTAAGGGGTGTGTGGGGTGAATCACCTTCAGTTCCTTCTCAACTGCCTCAGCCTGAGACTGAGCCCTAGTATGTACATCTTGAGCATGCCTTGGCTTTCTATATTTCTAATATTTTGTATAATAAGAACCCACGATCAGCTTCAGCAACCATGGCCTTAGCTACTGCTTCAGTCCCGATCTCCTATTTGGTACCGCAGGAGTTCAGATATACTAAGGACCTCTTGATAACAGATTAACCAGAGTCTCCGCTCCTCATGGGTACTGAGCGTCTCTCGGTACCAAGACTCTGATCTCTGGACTACGATCCTCCAGTACCACAAGACTCTCCACTGAGGGTGCTCCTCGTTTGGATGAGATTGCAGGAGGATGAAGACCACTTCAGTCGATCTTCTTTATCTTTGTCCAGGCTTCTCCAATATATCCATTCAGGAACCCATTCTCTGAAAGTCATAGGGAAAATTGGGCTTATCAATGGTGATGGAACCAACCCTGGATGCCACCTTTACTTCCTTTTGCTCCCCGCCACCCCCGGCTGCCAATTGACAATTTACAAGACCACTGGTACCGTCTGATAGGGGGGCCAGAGTTGTACAGCCCTCTCCTCCCCAGTCAGCCCCCCTGACAGGAGGAAACCTTTCAAATTCCTACTTCATCCTCATCTCTGGATGAGGTGGTTATGGTTCCGCCACCATCCATGGCCGATGACTTTTTTCAGTAATTTCATGATCACAGTGACTGGCGCTTTTCAAATTCCTCTCGGAGGCATCAAGAATTCACAGCACAAATTTTTGGATACCCTGCAGTCAGTAACACCCCCAGAATAGTTACCCATCAATGAGGTGCTCCTGGATCCAGCTATACTGCTGTGGCAGACACCTGACATTATTCTGCCCACATGTAAACAGGGAGATAAAAAGTATTATTTTCTTTTTGTTTTCCCACCTCCCCCACCTAATTCTCCGGTGGTGGATGTGGTAAATGAGTAGGGTAGACAGTATTTCAGTACGTCTACCCCATATAAGGACCAGAAAAGGCTGGATACCTTTGGGCCAAGGGCCTATTCTTCAGCATCCCTGCAGTTCAGGATTGTGATTATCCGGCAGTCATGCCCACATATAGTTTTGCAAATTAGAACAGGTTCACAGCATTTATTGAGCATCTCCCACAAGAACATAGGGAGCAATTCCAGTTCATCATCTCAGAAGGGCAGTTCGTGGCCAGAACCATGCTTCAAACATCCTTTGATGCTTCACACACTGCTACAAGTTGCATCTCTATGGCGGAGGTTATGCACAAGGCATCATGGTCATTTCTTGGGGTTTCTAAGAGAAGTACAGAACACCATGGAGGACCTCCTCTTCAACAGTTGCAAGCTGTTCTTGTATACCACAGATGAGTTCTTGAACACTCTAACAAACTCGAGGGCTACTTTACAATCCTATGGCACATATACACCTACAAATAAGAAAAGGTTTAGTAGGTCACAGACTACCCAGAGACTGCATCCTGCTCAGTTTTCCAGGCCATACATCCATCAAACACCCCAGAAAGAGACATAAGTTTCAAAGAGAGAGGGCTGCCCAACTGCCTTCCATGACCACCTAGCCATCTTCAAAACAACAGTTTTGATGGATTGGTCAAGGGCTTGAATCTTCCCGCAGCTCTGTATTCACAACTGCTCCTACTAGCCCACCTCCCTGCACTTTGGAGACTGCCCTGCCCACTTCCAACATGCCTAGAGGTGGATCACTACAGATAAATAGGTCAGAACATTAGGTTATACCATACATTTTATATCAGACCCTCCCTTCTCCGTCCCTCAGAAGTCACCTCAAGTGAAGCATCCACAGGGATGCTACTTGATGAAAGTTACTCATTCTGCACAGTAATTGTGCTTCTTTGAGATGTCCCCCCTATGCATCCTCCACTACCCACCCTCCTTCCCCTCTGCTTCGGACTGTTCCTTAGGAGTGTTTGGGTAGAGAAGGAACTGAGGTCAGCTCACCCACACACCCCTATATAGCATGAGAGGCATAGGGCACGTGCATGGGCCGAATGGATGCTAACTGAAAATCTTCAATCAAGGGCTCAAGAGGTGCATGTGTTTCTGAAGTAGAGCACCCACAGGGATATACATCTTGAAGAACCACAGTTACTGCACAAAGTAATTAACCGCTTTTTCTGCATTGTATGCTTAGCATTGCAACATGTTCACATTTTGTTTTCATGACTGTTGTATTATTCAATCCTAATAGTGTTTCATTATAGGTGGCCTTTCCAATGAGATTTTTAAGTGTTGTAGCTGACTCATTGTACTTGTACTGAAGCTAGGAATGGTAAACTATTTCCAGGTGGCAATGTTTTAATCTTTTAATTCAGAATATAAAGCTTTGTGTATCCTGAAACTTCTGTCATACTTCAATCTACAATGTCATTTTATATATCTGTTGTTTATTAAAGGTATTGCAATCAAGGAATCGGCAAAAGTTGTTGATCAAGCACAAAGGAGGGTTACGAAAGGTGTGGATGATTTAGACTTCTTTATTGGGGATGAAGCAATAGAAAAACCAACTTATGCAACAAAGGTATTAAAGGATAGTTCTTTTCTATGAATTTAATAAGTCTTAAAAATCCACTGTAAAATAAATGGTTTCTCACTGATGCTTAACTGTAAAGAACTCTTTATTTTTCCATTTTTAACATGTACTTTTAAAAATAATGATATTCAAATGTTGTTTAATATTCAACCAGTTTCTGGTAACTTTCAAGACATTTTGTCTTCATTTGGAAAAAAAGTACATTAATTTATTTTCTTTGAAATAACATTGGAGAGTGAAGCACAGTTGTTTACTGTTCATTTTCCAGCACAGATGAGTGCTTATAAAGACTTCAAAATTTCAAATTAATAATCATTATGGGGTAGGAAGAACTTATAGCACAATATTCTTACTGTGTAGTTTGCTTCCATTTTTAGTGACTTTTTTTCCTGCAGTTAGAAACAATCAATCAAACTTCTTATTTTAAACTTTCCAAATACATACTGATGTATCTGTTTTAACAGTGGCCTATCCGCCATGGTATAGTTGAAGACTGGGACTTGATGGAGAGGTTTATGGAGCAAGTTATCTTTAAATATCTAAGAGCAGAACCGGAAGATCATTACTTTCTTTTGGTGAGTACAAATTACTTCCTGTTTATGAAAATATGTAAGAATTTTGTGTTTGTAACACACACAACCTTTTATGTAAATACACCTTTAAGCTGCACCACCTATGTAGAAAGTTAAAGGTCATGTGCATTGGTTGAAGCCAGGCTGGTCTGGCTACTTCTCTATAAGTTGCTTCTTTATTTTTTTATGAGCTTTAAAAGCAAAGGAGTGTCTGATCTACAAACTCCTGTTCTTCCTTTATTTCTATTGCCCCAAACTTTCTCTGTTGCAACAGCTCTCCATTGAAGTGAATAGTGATGTCATGGAAACTACATTTTAGGTAAGTATTTCTCCAATGATGCAGTAGCAGTCTGTGCGCTGTGTGTTAATAGCAGTTGTATTAAAACAGAACAATTCCTGTTAACATTTGGATGCAGTTGCTAAAGTGTCATTTCAGTTGCCGTACTTTATACAGAGCCTGTGGATACACGGAGTGTAAATCTATTCAGTGGGATTTGTTTTGCAGCTTTGAGTAGTTCTAGACATTTTATGATTGGATTTGGGGCAAGGTCTGAGCCTTCTTAATTCCTCACAACTGTTGCTCTAAGCTTTTTCTTGGATTTTGATGATTGAATTTGCTACACAATTTAGCTACAATTAACTTGTCAAGTTGCCCACAACTTCAGTCTTTTTTTACAAGACTCTTTTAAAAAAAAAAACACATATAGAAGTTTAAAAACTAATAGGACTGGAATGAACTTTTTCAATCATTAAGATCAGTTCACTGCTGTCACAGGCCGCCTTTGTTATTTAATCCTGTTCATGAATTCATCAAGCTCCATCTTAAACCTAGCTAAGCAATTGTTCCCACTCCTCCTGTTGGGAGGCAGTTCCAGAATCTCATTCCTCTGATGGTTAGAAACTCTTCCAATTTCCAGCCTAAATTTATTCATGACCAATTTATAACTCTTCTTGAAAATTTCCCTACTTTTATATATAAAAAAGGTAAATGCAGAAAATGGCTCTAGTATCACAACCATAGTTTGTTCCATGAATAGAGAGTGTGAATCTGCATCCACTAACCAGCCACATTGAATCTCATTGAAATCAGTGGAACTTCAATGAGGGTTGCAGGTTGAAATCCATATTCTTCCTCCTACTGGAACTGTAGCATATGCCTACACGAAAGCAACTGGTAGCAACAAATATTATGTTTATTTCTTTAAATATTCCTCACTCATATAACATTCAGAATGCATACTTTCAAAGAACAGTTTGCGATAAGTCCAAGTTTACGATAGTAGCACATCATATGTATTCTGTCCCAGTCTCCCTTTAATATAATTTATTCAGATGGTAGCGACTATCTTCTTATATTGCCTTTGAGAAGAGAATAGAACATAATATTCATGTTCTGTTCGGTGAATGGCTGAGAAAAAATAGGCTCTTTGTAATTGGGGCTATCAAAATACTTGGAATATACAACAGTCCTTTTTTTGGATGATAATACTATATTCTGTCAATGGATCCAATGTTGCAGTGAAATAACTGCCCATGATAAGAGGACGCCAATATATCTTGGTAAATTGCGGCAAGAATTGAGTTTCACATCACTTTTGTGTTCCTGCATGACGACACACACTGTGATATCCCTATGGTGCAGTTTGGCATTAGTTTTCTAGCCTTCATGGGAATTGACAGGTTTACTAAATTAAACAGTTTGCTGATAGCTTTTTTAAAGCACAGTGT